TCAAACTAAGATACCAACCTAGTACATAAATGACTAATACATTTGGATATTCTATTTTTAGCATTGGCAAGGTAAATGAGAAATCTAATTATTTTGGCAAGATGTGTAGAATGTAACATTAACCAATAATCCTCATCAAAGGACTGGCATATTTTGCAAATCATTCTTTGGCTAGGGTTAAGAGAAGAGTAAATCCTGGGGTATAGAAAAAGGTATGGCAAAGTGCCTAGCTCGGAATGTGTACTTACTGAATGCTGGTTGATTCTAATGATAAGGTATGGGTAATGCTTGTCTCCTTCCAAAAGATATTGTCTAGGCAGCACAAATGGCATCTTCTCCCTCCAAACACACACTGATATATTATGATAGCTTCTTATTCCTTAAAAAAGATTGCTCTTTGGACCAGCAGATGGCCTAATGGTTATATCACTGGACATAGTTAACTGTGGTTCAAGTCCTGGACCTGACATCTTAAACTCACTCTGGGCACGGGCACATGCATGCCCAAAATTCTGAGAGGAGAATGGAGGAGGAGGGGTTGCAACATGGCTATTTCCCTCGGGGGGTTATTTCTTGCTTTCTGACTCTGTCTCTCCAGTGAGCACACACGCCCTATAGCAAAAATCTCTCTAAAAAAGGATTACTCATGAATACTATTACCCATGTGAAAACACTGAGATATTAAATGCAATAAAAATAAGATGTGAAATTAGTGAAATAAAACTGTACTCATCCTATGAATAATAATAATCCAGTAGTAACATTAAGACTATGTTCTGGGACCAGCAGTTGGCATAATGGCTATGTCGCTGGACTCTCATGCAGTCAACTACTGTTCAAGTCCCAGACTCGGTGGCTTAAACTCATGCCAGGTACATGTGTGTACACATGCATGCCCCAGATCCTGAGAGAAGAATGGAGGAGAAGGGATTACAGTGGGCCATTCCCCCTGGGGGATGATTTCTCACTTTCTGTTTCTCTGTCACTCTTTGTCTTTCTGGTGAGCGCATGTGCCCTATAGCAAAAACCTCTCCAAAAAAAAAAAAAAAAAGACCGTGTGCCTTTGATGAAAGCAGCTGATTATTATTTCCTGCCCAGAAATCTTTCTCTTTCTGGTTTGCCAGGTACTGAATTTCTCGGTGTCACTTGTCCGGAATGAGGCACCAAGTCCTAAAATAATGAAAATTCTGGCATTATTTTTCTTGCTGCCTAAGCAGTCATTTAGAAATCTCTGAGGAAATACTGGGTCATCAGAAAAGTCATGACTCATTTTTGCATAGAAAAAAATGTCACAACTTTTCCAACAACCCAATGGCACAATGAACAGGTAAATTCTGACAGGGTAGGTTGCCACAGAGGAGTTACCTGAAGCAACAGAGTCAAGGATCAGTGAGCAGTGATGGGCCATCAAGTACCTTCACCATCTGAGCTTTGGTTTCCCCTTAGGACACGAGGAAGGGCTATCGCTTTTTAAAATCAGTAAACAATTTGTTCCAATGCAATTTTTAACAATCCAAACTGTGCTCACTTACTTGAAATAATTTTATATTACATTAAATTATGTATATACACAGTCATACCCAGAGATACACACAGTACGGTCTATTCTAAACTGTTTCTTCTTTCATGGATTTGTCTGCTGTTCTTTAGCCAAATTATTAAGATTGTAATAATTAATATGACTTTACAAAATCATTATGTCTTAACCAAATCCAGTCCTATTTTTTCTTACATTTTTGCCATAGGGTGCATGCACTTGCAAGAGAGAAAGAGAATGAGAATGAGAACACACCCCTCCCACCCCCATTGGAATGGCCATGCCATAATCCCTTCTCCGCCATTCTTCTCTTGGGATTTAAGGCACATGTGTACACATGCCTGGTGTGATTTTCAAGCCGTGGGGTCTGGGATTCAAACTGCTGTCTGCCATGTGAAAGTCCAGTGCCTTAACTACCATGCCACCTGCTGACCCCTTCCATCTATTTTAAATGTCTCTATACTAGTTTTCTGGTTGTATTTCTATAAGACGTGTACTCTTATTTTGTTTAGTTTTAGTTTTTATTTTGCTATAGGGCATGTGTGCTCACCAGAGCGAGAGACAGAGAGCGAGAAAGTGAGAAATTACTCTCCAGAAGGGATGGGCACAATGTGATCCCTTCTCCTCTAGTTTCCTCTTGGGATTTTGGGCACCTCCCCATACACACCCAGCACAGTCTGCCATGTAGGATCCAGCACCTTAACCTCCATACCACCTACTGGTCCAAATTGCTGCCATTTTAATAAGTATTTAATGAATGCAAGCTTCTATTATGTAAGAGTCATATAATGTAGTCATTAATACTAGAAAGTCATTAATGCTAGAAAGCATATACACATGTGTGAGAAAGAGAATGAGAAAGCATGCAAAAGAGAGAAAGCATCTCCTAATGGGGTCTGGTCATACCCCAATCCTTTTTCAGTCTCAATTCTGCATTGTGGCAGGATCCTGGACAGTATGCATGCACAGCCAGCATGTTACTCAAGCCTCCAAAGCTGAGATTCGAATCCTGGTTGGCCACATGGGATCTGGCTTCCTCAGCGCAGTGCTTAACTACATACTACAGAGCCAGTCCAAGCCACATATAGTTAAGCTTATTTGTAAGGGATTTTAAAAATCATGAGTTGAAATCTTTCATTCGTGTCTTCTAATTACTGTTAGAAATGGGGACAGCTAGTGATTTTGACTTACTAGTTTTACTGATTTATTTTTCTGTAGCCTGTCAGTTTCTTTTGAATTTTTCTAAGTATACAATTATATCACATTCAAATATTGGCTTCTTCTTTTCTATACATAATTTTCTTATTTTTTTCTCTTCTGTAATTACATCAGCTCTAATCTTCACTTACACAATGTTAAGCAATGTGGATTCAGTGGGTATCTTTTTCTAACTTTTAGTTTGAGATATTTGTGGTAACATCAAGAAACTATGAGTTATTTTTAATAGATTTTAATCATCAGAAATAAATGCAAAATTTTATCCATCGTGTCTCAGAATCAATGCAGTGGTAATATCTTTTTCTCCTTTGACTTGTTAAGATCAAATCATTTTTGCCTCCTCATTAATATATCTATTCTTAAAATTATTTCTTTTCCGAATTATCTTGGCTGATCTTACATAATTTATTTTTCCATAAGAAACTCAAGAGGTGATTTATTTTTCATTGCCAGAGGGCATGTGTGTGGGGGGGGAGAGAGAGAGAGAAAGAAAGCACCCCCCACTGACACATGATCACACAGCAATCCTGCTTCCTCCATTGTCCATCCTGTCTCAAGTGTGGATACACATGCACATGTACCCAGTGTATTTCTCAAGCCACTGAGCAGGGACTAGAACCAAGGTTGGCCATGTGGAATCGAACTCAACCACTAGCCTAAGAGTTCAGCTCAAAAGACAATTTTCCAAGAAACAAGACACCATTGAAATTAAAATGTCATTTGTCTGAAAACATACACTATGGGCCGACCTAATGGAGACTTCAGGCACAGTCATTTACCTAGCCGGGGTACCTTATACATCATTCATTCTTCGATGTACAGTCTTCATATACTTTAGGATCTCTGAAATTAAAATCTAACTAGAATCTATCATGATCATGTTTAATTTTATAGTCAACAATTGTTTTCTTTTGTAGTGATGCATGATACAATTAAGGAGGCTGAAAATGTGTTTTCTAGGTTTGAGAGAATACAGCAAATCTCAACCTAAAGCATGTTACCTTCATGAGCTGGTTTTACAAAATTGCCTCATTTCCCTACCTCTGCCCTGACATATATCTTCTTTAAAAAAAAAAAAAGTTATTACTATATGTGAATTCATAAAAAAAATAAACTGAATTATAATTAAACTTAGGCTTAAAGTCTTTGAGAACTTCAGGATTTACTCGAGTATGATCTAAGGTAGCCCAAGAATTGCAAAACAGAGGTTGAGATTTATCGGTAGATACACAAATGCACCTGAATAACAGTTCTAGTTTTCAGTGGAGTCAATAAGTAAAATAATACCAAAACTGCAGAATTCTCAAGCAGCTTTGTCCAAGAAAACAATGTAGGCAATTATTTTCAGTATTTTTTTTTAATTCGTTTATTTCAGTTCATTTATTTATTTCCTTTCATGTGAGAGACAGAATGTGAGGCACCCTGGACAAGGTCTGCAATACCCTCACTACACTGCAGTAACCTCCCACGAGCCTGCTAGCCAGCCAGGATTACGGACGAGTCCAATGTGCTCAGGTTGACCCAGGATCCAAACCAGGGCCTTCCCTTAGGACTTCAGCATCAAGCAGTGACGCATCATGCCTGAACCACTAGAGCTGGGCCCACAGGGTTGGTTCGAGGTGTCAATATAACAGAAGTTACTAGTCTCTGTCCCCATCTCTTCTCTTATCACCCTGCCCTCCCAGAAAGTGAGCACATAGGCCCAGAATTTCCATCTCACCTACCACATCACTTCCGGCTCTGCATGCTTACCTCCTGACCACAGACGACAACAAAAGACTAGTTACAACTGCTTCGCATCAGAGCCCTGGTACACAGATGTGGAGCAGAGGATTCTAGCATTACAAAACCAAACGTAAAGGAAGCAGCTGCCAGAAAGTCCTGCGAACTGAGGGGCTGGTTGCCAGGTCAGGAAATTCAAACTAGCAAGCTGACCCATCGACTAACCACAAGCCACTTTCCTCCTCTTTCCAAGTGTGAATTTAAATCTTTCCTCTTACAAAGAAAAAAGAAAAAAAAAAGAAAGAAAGAAAGAAAATAATTTGCACTAACATCTCGGGTTACCTTAATCAACTACTATCCACTTCAGAAGAATTCTGCTAATCTTTTGAAAACATTCTCTGTAGCTCTTTTACAAATTATTAAAATGAGAAGAACAAAGTCAACAGCACTTAGACAGTTTTAATTTTCAGCTTTGGTAAAATCGTCAAGGGCCCTTGACTCATCAACCTCAACGTGGACCCACCTTTTGCACAGCTCCTTGAAAGGCCTGTTTAATTCTCCTACACGAGTCAGGTATTAATTTTGTATCTTGACTCTCCAGAGTACTGTCTTGTAAATCTGCATTTTCATGGAGTCTCAGAATTCTATAAATGCAGTGAGTGCCATCTTCTGATAGTCTATTAGGATCCATCTGAGGGGGAGAAAAGGATGATTTAGAGTGGTTACCATTAATCATCTACTATTTAATAAAGTGTGACTGAAGAACAAAAATTCATTCTTGCAAAGTCTTTTTTGTCCCTGATGATTAATAGTTAATTCAATTACCCTACAGCTGGTGAAAACATTGACTTCTTAGTCATTTTTATGAATAGATAACTACCATCCACAGCACAAGGCCTTGTTCTGTGGTAGGTTCCCAGTGACAACCAAAGTGCCCATGTGTGACTCATGGGGGGGGGATTCTTTATAAAAGGGTATGGAGGGAACCAGCAGTTAGCATAATGGCTATGTCGCTGGACTCCCAGGTAGTCGACCGCAGTTCGCGTCCCGGACCCGGTGGCTTAAAACTCACGCAGGGTGCGTGTTTGTGCATGCCCACGATCCCAAGAGTAGAATGGAGGAGAAGGGATTTAAGATTAACCACCAGCCCCTCTGGGGGGTGATTTCTCTCTTTCTGTCTCTCTGTCTCTCTCTGTCAGTCTGGCAAGCGCACGCGCCCTACAGCGAAAACCTCTCCAAAAAAAAAAAAAAAAGGGTATGGAAAAAATCTTATACATCCATGCAGGTAGAGAAAGCTTTTTGCTTTATTTAATTTAATTATTTTATTTCATGCAATATACTAGATGGGATTGCAGAGCCCACTTGGTAATTCAAAGCATGAAGCCTACGTAAATCCAGCAAAATGAACTTCATCTTTAGCCATCATGTTTGTCAGGCCTTTTACTTTAATATATATTTTTATCAGGTGAAGAAGCAAGGCATCTGTTTCCTAGCTCCAAAATGAACCTAAAGCCAGAACCATCATTCCCCCTTTTACTGAACCTCTCAGCAGTGTTTCTCAACCTAGACATACCTGCCTGACCTGTTCACAAAGATATGTGCTGGGAAGATGGAAGATGCTAAATTTCTTCTAAGGAATTTTCCCAGCCAAAAATATCCCCACTGAGTTATTAGCTAATTACCTGGCTAGAAGAGCTGCCCAACCTAAGCATTTCTTTAAACACTATTCTTCAAATTTTCTATCTATTCTTCTAAGGGCTCCGATAAGCCTTTGCATTTGTTTCAACAGTCAAGTAAAGGCCAGTGATACTTGGCTACCAATTGATTTCACGCTAACAGTTTGGCCCAGCCTGGTGGTACAGTTGGTAGCAAACTGAACAGCAATGCTGGAAACCACAAGGCTTACCAGGGGTCCAGATGCCTGGTCGACTTGAAAATACACTGGCTGTGGACATTTGTGCCCAGGATCCTGATGAGCTGGAGCGCCAGGGAAAAGGGGTCATGAAGGATAAAGACGCTGACATAGGTGCTTTCTCTCTCTCCCTCTTTCTTTCTCTCTCTCTTTCTCTCTCTCTCTCTCACACACACTAGTAATAATAACAGTTTAACTTGTCCTCTTAAAATTCAAGGTACTTCATGAGTATTTGTTCATTAGTAGGTAAAACCTCCATGAAAAAGTGAAAAATAAATAAATAAAAGCAAAACTACAAAGTTTACAGTAACTGGAGAGATTAACGCAGTCTCTTTTTCCCTGCTTTAATTAAATGTTTATAAACAATCAGAAAGATGTGTAGGCTTAATAACCAGCCATCAGAAATACACTGAAAAGTGCTCTGTGCGTATCCAAAGCCCTCAAAATGAAGTGATAGCCTTTTAGCAAATGCGCACCCATTGATACGAATTTTATTCCAATCCCGGAAATGTAAGGACTACCTATCATCACAGGAGAAGGACCACCTAGAAGTCAAACTAATTCTAATCCATATCTGTTTCTCATAGATCTTTAGAAAAATTAGTATGAATCAGAATATGTGAGTATTTATTTAAGGAAAGCTTTCCGTTACGCATTAAAAAGACACAGTCTCACTTATGCCAATAAGTATTCCACAAAGCCGGAAAAGTGTGGGTAGCTGATATAAGGCTCACCGAATTCAGCCCTCAGGAAAGAAGAATCATACAAAGGCCTCCGTTGCCTCACCATGGGAAAACTGCTGAGCTAAAGCAACAGTCTGGCATTAGTGGGCAGATGTCCAGGGACCCTAAAATTGGGTAAAGCTGTAGCCCTGCTGTCAGGCTAAGAGTCGTTGAATGGCAGCAGCAGTCTGCTATATTCTCGGTACTCAAAGTGTAGGCTAAGCATCAACAGCGCCAAGGTCTCACCAGTCACTTGTTAGAAATGCTGAATCTCGGGGCCAGCAAGTAGCATAGTGGTTAAAGCACTGGACTCCCTCATGGTTGACCACGGTTTGAGTCCCTGACCTGGCGGCTTGAGAATCACATCAGGCACATGTGCATGCATGTTCAAAATCCCGGGAGAAGAATAGAGGAGAAGGGATTGCAGCACGGCCATCCCCCCTTGGGGGTGATTTCTCACGTTCCCTCTCACTGTGTCTCTTCTGCGAACACACATGTCCTATGTCGAAAACATTAAGAAAGAGAAAGAAAGAAAGAAAGAAAGAAAGAAAGAAAGAAAGAAAGAGAGGGAGAGAGAGAGAGGGAGGGAGGGAGGGAGGAGGAAGGAAGGGGGAAGGAAGAAAGAAAAGAAAAGAAAGAAGAAAGAAAGAAAGAAAGAAAGAAAGAAAGAAAGAAAGAAAGAAAGAAAGAAAGAAAGAAAGAGAGAGAGAAAGAGTGAGTCTCAGGCTCCACCTTAGCACACTGCCTGAAAATCTGCATTGGAACCAGATCCCAGGTGGCTCATCTACACAAGTTTGAAACACCATGTTTTAAAATGTTGAATAAATAAATACAGATTTTTCTGCTATAAAAATCATTCCAAATTTCTTCAAATGCCCATTTAAAATTTGTTTCACATGTAGCACCAATTAGCACAAAAACACTGCAACAGTTAGTAATGGTTAATGATTTCACACAGGGAAACACAATGCAAAAGTTCTGTCCCTTCTCCCTTAGAAAACATCTATGCCCCGATCCACTCCCCAGACCCACCCCACCAGCCAATGCCATCCACATAAATGAAATTTATCCAATTATTGAATCTCTCCCCAGTTCCTGCAATGTGCAGGTGAGAACCACTGCCTTGGAAGTCAACCTTGGAGCCAAATATGTATAAAACCTCATCAGTGATTTTTCCCAAGAGATATCATAAATGCATGGCATAATTAATTATGATATAAATTCCTTTTGGTTATTTAAGGATCACATGCTAAAAATACTTTTTAATCTACAACCAAATGTTCTTATCCCAGTGTCCTTACAGTTCTCATTTCCTGAGAATAGGGGCCAGGAGAAAGGCACGCAGAGTTTCAGGGGTACGGGTCCAACCACACAGAGGAAACAGAAGACCTCCATGACCGGGGCACGTATGCTTAAGGAACTGGAGGGCAGGGAGTGAAACTGGTGGTGGATAGTCAATAAATGTTCATCAAGTGACTAAAGAAATGTATCTCCTACCTGCAACTCACTTTCTGTCACACAGCCTTCTGGATGGGGGATTTGCATAACTGAAAAATTATACTACTAATCAGATCAATTAGCCACTGATTTGATAATTTACTTGTTAAAAATTAGAAATGGTTATTTTTTGTAGTGTTTGTAAATCTTTTGAAAAGCCTCTGCAGCAAATTCAGCATGGCCAGCACTGGACCATGGGGCTACAAATATGATAGTGAGTCAAATAGGCAGTCCCTATTCATGAAATTGATGCTCAACTAAAGAAAAAAAAAAATCTCAGAAACTGAGTTACAAATGAATTCACTGTCCCTAGGCAGGTCTGAAACATTACATAAGTCTTGAATATCTGATATAAAATCAACTTTTAAGATGCACATATCAAATAATGTAGTACCTATGAAATAAACTCAAGGTTTTGTGTGTGTGTTTGGGGGGGGGGGTTGTTGTTGTTTTTTTGACTTCCTGAAACTTAATCATTTGTAGGGTTAAGTGAGGCAGGATGCTTGACATTTGTGCCACTTAGTTATCTGTTCTTTCAAGCAGGCAGCCTGCACACCTCTGCATCAGACGAGCAGCAGTGACTGTTGTCCTGGGTAACAGACAGCCAGGGAGTCTGTGTGTGTGTGTGTGTGTTGGGGGAGTGGAAGAAGGAGTTAAAAGGGCAAAAGAGCTTGAGATTTCTGAAAAGCTTATCTCATAGCTAAACTCTAAACTTTGTAATTATACGGATGTTAAACACACACCCATTTTACAAGCAACTTTTTGGAAGGCGCTTTTTTTTTTCTTTGTAAACCAAAGTATGAATACTATGTGGTAAATATATAGCACAAGCCACATGCTGTTTTCTCTCTGGCATGGCTGATGGGGAGGAAGCCAACCTACACCAGATCTAGTAATACATTTTGTTTAAAAATCTAGGCACAAGCAATCTGCAAACATTCAGGAGCCCAATTCGTTTTTAACTATTTAAACATGAGTCAAGAAGAGAAAACTTTAAAAAGTGGTCGCTATAATTTTTTTTTTTTTTGTAGAGGTTTTTGCTATGGGGCGTATGCGCTCGCCAGACAGACAGAGAGAGACAGAGAGACAGAAAGCGAGAAATCACCCCCCAGGGGAGATGGCCACACCACAATCCCTTCTCCTCCATTCTCCTCTCGGGATCATGGGCACGCACACACGCGCACCTCACGTGAGTATAAGCCACTGGGTCCGGGACTCAAACCACGGTCAACTATGTGGGAGTCCAGTGACATAGCCATTATGCTAACTGCTGGTCCCTATAATTTTTATGCTATTCTGGGCACTCTTTTAAATGCACTAAACACTTAAACTGCTTTTATCTTGAGGATTTGCATACCATCTTTCCCCTGCCTTTAAACAAAAACATGAAAACTGGCTCATTTTATTTTTTGTATCTGCAAACATGCCACCTGATAGATGATTTTATTCTCATTCAAGTGCATACACACACTCCAAGTAACTGATTCACAGTTTTAATGGAAATTTTTTAAAAAATTAACTATTGTCTGTTATCTGAAGTTCTAATCCAAAGAAGCTAATATAATATGAGTAAAAATGTAAATTCAGTGGTGGGTCAAACTGAGTCTATTCCCTTAGCTAAACCTAAGGAAAAAAGATCTTCAACACATACAAAAGTGAAAAGGATTGCAGACTCCCAGCTCATTTAAACTGTTGCCAATGCATGGCCAATCTTGTTTCATCTCTAAGCAACCACTCCTCTTCTCCCACCTCCCCACTATCACTTTGAAACAAATTCCAGACAACATAGCATTTTATTTGTTACTGTTTCAGAATGTATCTCTAAAATGATTAGGGCTTCTGTAGGTATCAAATGTAGATACAGTACTCAGTAAAATGCAACCGAATCTAGAGATCCATTCATATGAACATATTCCTCTGTTACTTTCTTAAAGAAGTAGACAATTTTTAAAAAATATGATAGAAAACTGGGTTAAGATGGAGGCTAGCAAGCGGCATATTGGTTGGGATGCTGGATTCCCTTATGCTCTGCTGAGGGACCCAGTGGGTTAAAACTCAGGGCCGGCGCATGTGCTTACGTGCATGCCCAAAATCCTGAGAGGAGAATGAGGAAGGGGTTGTGGCATGGCCTTCTCCTCTAGGGGTGATTTCTCACTTTTTCTCTGTATTTCTCTCTCTCTGGCAACCCTGTAGCAAAAATCTCTCTGAAGAAAAAAAAAGGGGGGGGGGAGTTTCATAGAAATGACTAAAATATTTTGCATAAGTTTTAGAGACACCAATTTTCATGGCATTTAGGAAAACCATGCCCAGAAATCTGATGCCATTAAATTTTCCAAATGAAAACTTTCTAGCTGGCTTTACTAATATGTTTACTTTGGACATAGGTTTTGAGTATGTCACTATTAAATGCGACATTAAGTGATGACAGGTGGTCATCAGGACTTCAGACCTCTCAGCCCACCAACACACTGATGAGATTCCTGGGAAAGCTGAACAGTTGTAACAAGAGCCAATCAGTTCACACTTTCCCACATGGCCACAGTAGGTTCCTGTCCCTAAAACTCATTCATCCCCAACTGTTATTTCAATACTAGATGCTCTAGTATGGAAATACTAGATCCCTAAGGTGTTAAAAAGGATTAAAATGAAGAATGTTTAGTCCTCTTTTGGAATACTCTCCTCTTCACAAAGTTGTCTGGCACTGTGCACTTATTAAATGGACATTGTGTGTTGAATAAATGATTCCTAATTCATATCCATAGCATCTAATAGCGACATGACAATGAAATGGGGGTTCTTAACTAAATACTGAGTGAGAAATGGCTCGATCCTTTTTCACTGCAATGTGCTCCAGCGGGAGATAAAGGTTTTGCTTCTTTCATATAGATGTATGTCATCCACGTTGGAAGAAAGCCACTCAAAAGTCATCTTTTCAGAAAAACGAATTCTCTCAACATTGTGGATTATTTTTTACTAATATACACATGCAAAGTTTTTTAATTTTATTTATTCATTCATTTATTTATTTAATTTTATTTTTTGGAGAGGTTTTCGCTATAGGGCACGTGCACTCGCCAGACAGACAGAGAGAGACAGAGAGACAGAAAGCGAGAAATCACCCCCCAGGGGGGATGGTCACGCCACAATCCCTTCTCCTCCATTTTCCTCTCAGGATCTTGGGCACGCACGCACATGCATCCGGCGTGAGTTTTAAGCCACCGGATCCGGGACGCAAACCGCGGTCGACTATGTGGGAGCCCAGTGACATAGCCATTACGCTAACTGCTGGTCCCCTCATTCATTTATTTTTAATTTGACAGAGAGAAAGACAGAGAGAGAGAGAGAGAGAGAGAGAGAAGTGAGTAAGCAAGCCAGAAGGTCAGAGACTCGAACCGTGGTCAGCCATGTGGGAGTGTCCAGTGCCTTAACCACCATGCTACCTGCTGGTACCCACATGCAAACTTTTTGAAGTTTGGATCATAGAGTTCCTAGTTTTGTTTTAGTAGATAATCACAGACAGGTTCCGTAAAATGCAAACTCGGGGATAATGAACACTTAACAAAGACCTATGAGACAAGGTAATAGAGTTAACGACGCTGGCGCACGTCAAAAACTCACACAATACAGCAGTGCCATGTTTGGATGCATAAAGTTTGGTTTAGTAATCAGCTTTGAATCTGAAAACCAATAAAGTCCAAACCCAACTTTCTTTTCCCATAAAAAAAAATGCACAGTCAGCCCCCCACTTCCTCTGAGAAAAGCGTTCACAGCACCAGAGAAGAATATTTGAATGAATCCAACCGACCGTACTGCAATTTCCAAGAAAACACAAGAGCATAAACCACCAGAAAGCATAATATTACGCATTCACCCCTTCCTTTCTACTAGGTCTCTGCAGTTCCGAGCCTGCAGACTCTCTCCCTCGTGTCAAAGACTGGTTATTTGCCGTACGGTAGTGAGGATGCGCCGGCACACGCACACCTGGCTTCCTTCCTCCGCCCACCACACTCGAAGGCACGTGGGGCCGTCGGCCTTCCTTCACCCCGGGCGACCGGAGTCCCACAGGACAGTGCTGCAGCGACAGCAGCGGCAGCAATCGCAGCACAGACCCGTCCTGAGACACAGCCTCTCAGGTCGCGCGCCATAAGTCACTCTGCCCGTCTGGCGACCTGGGCATCGCCACCGGGTGCTCCAGCGCCCGCTCGCAGCACGTGCACCGCGACCTTCCGCTCTGGGCGTCCCTCTGGCGCTGCGGTCTCATGCCTACCCGCCCGGCAGCCAGCCCCCAACCGAAATGCACCAAGCGGAGGGCGGGAGGGAAGGTGATGCCCAAGGGAAGGCGCTTAACTTTTTTTCCTCCATGAACATTAAATTGTTTCTTAGCTCGAAGTGAGAAACGGAAAGGGAGACAGGGCGTGCAGCGTGCAATCACTTGCAGAAGTAAGCGGCCAACACCGTTGGACAGTGGATGGGATTCAAACCCGTCCTATGGCCAGACGAGCCCAGCCTTTGCGCGCTGCGGATCCTGGGTGGTGAGCTGAGAGAAGCGGTGCGCGGGGAGCCTCCGGCCAGGAGGTCCCGGGACCTCTTAGAGTCATTTTCCCCGCCTGGAAGGCGAGCCCGCGGCTAGACTGGGCTTCCTCCAGGCGAAGCAGCAGCCAGGTGGGTGCGCCTGACAGCGCGCCCCTAGAAAGGCCGCCACTCACCTGTGCTCGGAAGTAGAGGAACAAGGCGATGCTGCAGACCACCTGGCCCAGTCCCAGCCCCAGAAGGGCCACGAACATGGAGCGGGAGGCGGCAGGGGGTTGGTGGGGTGCGGGCGGCGGGGGAGGCGGCGGGG